GTAGTCAATGTCACTGAACTGTGCATGTAGAAATTTTTGAAATGGTGTATCTTTGGCTATGTGTATTTTCACCAAAAAAAAAAAAGGTTGAGAAGTTAGAGGGTTGACGTGTTGTGGGGTTGTTAACCAATGTCATAAAACAATATGTGTACTACTGTTTCATAAGAAACTATTTGTTTTGTAAGCCTTCACCTGAAGTACAATAAAAAAAAAAAGAATAAAATAAATTATGTAATATTCCAAAAGAAACTAAAAAAAAAGAGACTATTTACATGAGAGCCAACATTATTTTTAATAAAGAGATTCTAGAAGCATTCTACTTAAAACTTAGAACAAATTAAGAATGTTTCCATTAACGTGGCTGTGTAATATAATTTAAGAAGTTCTAGCAATAAGGAGCACTGGTGGTACAATGGTTAATCAGTGATTAAGAGCTCTGTTGCTAACCAAAAGTTCGGCAATCTGAATCCACCAGCCGCTCCTTGGAAACCTTATGCAGCAGTTCTACTTTGTCCTATAGGCTTGTTGTGCGTCCAAATTGACTGGACGGCAATGGGTTCGGCTGCTAATCCAAAGATGGGAGGTTCCAACCCACCAGCAGCTCCGCAGGACAAAAGACCAGGCAATCAGCCTAGGAAACCCTGTGGAGCAGTTCTACTCTGTCATGTAGGGTCACTGAGTCGAAATTCCCTCCATGGCACACAACAGAGTTGTTGGAAGGACTAGATAAGCTGATAGTAAAAAATGCACAATGCCAGAAATGTGGTAATTGCTCCAAAAAAGAACAGAAATATAAAATATAGGGGGAAAAAAAAAATAAGGGAGGGAGGGAGTGAAGCAGGAGGGAAGAAGGAAGGAAGAGTAAAAGGTTCCGATTCTAGGTTAGATTTTGACTCTAATGTAGATTTGACTCATTTGACTCACACTGAATACAGTAGAAAGGTGATCTTACATCGTAGAACCTCTGAAACAATGTTTTCACTATCCTACTCAATAAACTGAACTTAGAAGAAAAAAAAAAAAAAACCTGTTGCCATTAAGTCGATTCCGACTCATAGCGACTGTATAGAACAGAGTAGAACTGCCCTATAGAGTTTCCAAGGGACTTAGACAGTAACTGGAGAAAAGAGCACAAAATGTATTAAATTATTTGTTAACGCAGTAAGGAAATTGAGGTTATGTAAACCGAAGAGGAGAATGCCAGTAGGTAACAGCTACCATCTTCCAGTATATAAGGAAGATACTGACCAATTGTTCTCAAGTCCACAGAAGGCTAAATTCTAAAAGTGGATTTAAAGTAAAAAGTCTTTTTAACTGAACACAAAGAAGAATTTTATTATAAAGTGAAGTAATACAGCAGACACTCAGTAAACAAACACA